TAACGGTCACTTAATTTATGAAGGTGTCTTCTAGTCTGCATATCTTGAGGGTTTCTTTAATTGTCGACCTGACCGAGATGTTACTATCGGATTGTTTCTGCTAACTTTCACATTAGATTGGTTGGAGGTGGATGGTCTACTTGACAATTTCAGGTCGTCATAATCGTCGTTGTTCTCAACTTTAAATGTCTCCTTCGTTGGAAGCAGATGTCGTCTGTTTCGAGGAACAACGTTTCCCTGCTGATTCAGGATACGATATGATCGAGGTTCACTACACTTCTCTACCACTTTACCCTTTTTTGACCAATTGGTGTCTTTATCTGTTCGTACGCGAACTGTAGTGCCAGGTAGTAGAGCTGGTAGATGCGGGCATGCTGATCATAAGATTGCTTGACCTTGTGCCTTGGCGACACCGGGCACGGTGGCTGGGTTGATCCAGAAGGAAGGGTGGTGCGAGGGTTTCTTTGATACATTTTGTAGGCTGGAGAGTGGCCATCATTGTGTGGGGTTGTATTGAGCACGAGCATGGAAAGATACACATCGCTGTGGGATTCTTCAGCTTTCTTCAGTGACTTCTTGACCGTTTGGATGGTTCTCTCAACGAGGCCATTTGATTGAGGGAAGTGAGGACTAGACGTGTCGTGCTGGAAGTCCCACTCTCGTGAAAATCGTTTAAAGGATGCGGCAGTGTACTATGGGCCATTGTCACTGAACACTGTTTGTGGGATACCATGACGACTAAATATTTTCTTCATTTCACGAACTACGGCAGGTGCCTCGACGGGTTTTGCAATGTGGGCTACTTCAAAGAATTTGGAGTGATAATCAACGACTATTAGGTAGTCTCGACCATGGAGCGAGAAGAGATCTGTACCAACTTTGACCCACGGTTGGTCAGGCACGTCGTGTGGTATCAGTGTTTCCTTTTGCTGTCGGTTCGATGATTTGTGCACGTTGCACACTGAGAGACAAGAACAGTTAGCTCATGGTTGATTCCAGGCCAATAAACTGCTTGCCGGGCTCGACTCTTGCACTTTTCAATGCCTTGGTGTCCTTGGTGAAGAAGGGTTCGGACTTCAGGACGCATGGATTTCGGCACAATGATTTGTCGCCCTTTGAGAAGAAGGTCATGATTGTACACAATTTCGTGACGCTGGCTGTAGAAAGGTTTCACGGAACTATCAATGTTATCATCGGATGGCCAACCATTGACGGTGTATTGTTTGAACTTTTGTAGAACTAGGTCGTTTGCTGTTTCGCGCTGAAGCTGAGAGAGTTTTGACTGGCTGATTGGTAGCTGGTTGATGATTGAGTGAACATGATAAGCAATATCTTCAGGAGTAATTTCTGGTTGACCAGGTAATGAGGCTCTGCTGAGGGCATCTGCCACCTTCATAGTCTTTCCGGTTGCATATTCGAATGAAAAGTCATACTTTTGTAGGCGCAGAAAGAACCGTTGGATGCGAGGGGGACACTGAACAATGCTTTTGGAGAAAATGGCTTTTAGGGGCTGGTGATCATTGTGTACGATAAATTCTCGGCCATAGAGGTATTCGTGGAACCTTTCACATCCGAATACGACTGAAAGAGTTTCACGTTCTATCTGAGCATAATGTTGTTCTGATTTTTCGAGTGTTCAGGAGGCAAATGCAATGGGATGCCAGGAGTCATCTATGCGTTGCTCAAGCATTGCACCTAACCCAATAGAGCTAAAGTCTGTCCGAATACGAGTTGGGAGATTTGGGTCGTAGAACTGTAGGACAGGAACAGATGAAATCCGACGCTTGAGCTTTTCAAAGGCATCAATTTGGGGTTTCTGCATTAAGAACTCGGTTCCTTTCTTCAAGAGGGCTCGTAATGGCGCAGTTTCGACTGATAGGTTTGGGATGAATTTACCAAGATAGTTCACCATCCCAAGAAAACGCTGAAGTTTGGCAGGGCTTGTTGGAACGGGCACATTGGTAATTGCTTCAATCTTTCTTGGGTCTGGCTTCACTCCATCTACGGACATGATGTGACCCAGAAAGGTGAGCTCCGTTGCACCAAAAATACACTTTGCATGGTTTAGCTTCAATCCGCTATCTCGAATTTTGTCTAGGACCTTCTTCAGCCGTTGATCATGAATTTCTTTTGTTTCACCCCACACGATTATATCGTCTTGCGAGTTGGCAGCACCATCGCAGCCAGCGATGATCTTGGATATTTCGAGTTGGAATATCTCACTAGCCGAGTGAATTCCATAGGGCATACGCTTAAATTTGTATCGGCCAAACGCTGTGCCAAACGTGAGAAGATCTGATGTGAAGTCGTCGACTGCAATCTGCCAGTACCCGTTGCTTGTGTCGAGTTTGCTAAAGAATCGAGCACCACTCATTTGAGAGATTATCTCTTCTGTAGTAGGCAGACGGTAGTGTTGGCGTTTGATTGCTTGGTTTAATGGACGCGGGTCTAGGCAAACGCGAAGCTTTCCGTTGGGTTTTTCGACAAGAACTAAGGCGTTGACCCAGTCTGTGGATTTTTCGACTTTTTCAATTATACCCATGCTCTCCATGCGATCTAATTCCTTCTTCAGTCGATCTTTAAGAGCAAACGGTACTTTTCGAGGAGGTACCACTACTGGACGGACATCATCTATCAAGGTCATGTGATAGGTGGACTTGAGTGTGGCAATCTCTCCAAAACAGTCCGCGTACTCTTCAGATATATTGGAGCTATAAGCTTCCTCAATGTTAGTATCAGTTATTTTGTAGACCCGCTTGATTAGATTGAGTCGCTCTGAAGTGGCCAAACCTAGGATGGGTGTGGTCTGTGAAGCTACGACGATAAAGAGAAGGTGGTGTTTTTGTCCTTTATACTGAATAGGGACAATACATTTTCCATGTACAGGGATGGAAGACCCATTGTAGGCGGACAACTTGGTTGATGTTTGTTTGATTCGTGGGCGAGGGTTTAACTTGTTGTAGAGTTTCTTGGGTAACACGTTCACACGTTCCCTGTGTCGATTTTGAAGGGAATGTCTTGGCTGCCTGCATTAAGAGTGACAGACCAGTGTCCCGCAGAGGTGTCGCTATTGAGAGGATGAATTTCAAGTGCTTGTTGAACCTCAAAGGCTGCTTCAGATTCAGTTGCTACGAGGCTTTCGATAACAAAATCACTTTCTGAAGAGGATTCAAAGGAGGCACGATCTTGAGAGTCATCGACTTGATGCACTGTTTGTTTACAGCACCTGGCAAAGTGATTTCTACGTTGGCACTTGTTGCACTTTTGACCATACGCCGGGCATTTTCCACGTTGGTGTCGACCTGCACAAAATTTGCAGTTCTTTATTAAATTATCTCTTTCTGGAGAATGAGATTTAAACCTATCTCGGTTTTTGTCTCGCCTTTCCTTCTCTCGCTTTTGCCTGTGTACTTTGTGGATCTTCTTTTCCATGTCTTCAGTAAGTTGCTGAGCATGTAGTTTGGTTTGCTCGGAGGCTTGACCAAGCTCGACTGCTTTTTGTAGATTGATGTTAGGCTCATGAAACATTCTCTCACAAAGGGCATTGTCAGAGATACCACAAATGATCATGTCTTTAATAAGCGAGTCTTTCAAAGTATCGAATTCACAAGCTGCACTGCGTTTCTTCAGTTCTGTCACAAAGCTAGTAAAAGTTTGTCCTTCTTCCTGGCGGTATGTAAAAAACTTGTGTCTCTCAAAGGTAGTGTTGCTACGAGGATTGCAATACTCTTCAAATTTCTTGAGAACAGGTTTTAGTTTCAATTTGTCGCCAGCATTTTCAAACTCAAAAGTGTCATAAATTTTGCGCCTTTTTTCGCCTATACACGTCAAGAGAATTGAAGTTTTTACCTTGTCAGATTTTGAATCCGATTCCGTAGCTGTTAGGTAAAAGTCCAAGGCCTTTTGTATTGCTTCCACGATTCAGCAAGATTTCCTTCGAACGCGAACGGAGACGGAGGCGATAGCCCAATTATTCGTTCAGCCATCGCCACTGGTTATTGCTCGTTTGAGTAAAATTACTTTTTAAAACTTCTCAAATGTACTAACTAAATATCCAGAGTCAAGGATCCCACTTCTGTCACCATGTAAAGTTCTTATTTATGTTATATTAGTCCATTTCTTTGTGTATATCACTATATCTATATATCTATATGTTCGTGTCCCATTACACGTAAACAACAACGTTCTCCCTAATTTCCATCTCCCGTAAGGAGGTCCCGTGGTAGGAGATCAACATGCAACAGGGCATATAGTCGCTTGCTTGCTTTAGCAGATATGTTTGAAGCGTGAATGTTCCAGGACAGATCGCTGCTTAGAGTGATACCCAGGAGTTTCAAACTATCAACAACTTCAAGCGGACTACCGTTTATTGTCAGATGATCAAATTCAAGTTCAGATTGTAAAAAGGATACACGAAATTCTTTGGTTTTCTTGGCATTCAACCGCATATTGTTAGTATTGCTCCAATCACAGATTGTACTAATATCTAGTTGAAGGGTAGAATTACAAGCTGGCCGGGAAACCACTTCATATGTACTGCAATCATCCACGTACTTATACAATTGGTGTGTGGTGGTGGTAGTGGTGAGGTCGTTGATCATCACTAGGAAAAACAGGGGACCAAGGATAGTTCCTTGAGGTACGCCGACCTTAATCTGTCTCCAATTAGATCTTATTTCTCCAAGTTTTACACGAAGTTGACGATCTTGCAAAAATGGATGAACGTTCCTCTCCACAGCCATCTTCACCTTCAACGTCAGGACCGTCAGACCTCCAACTAACAATAAAAGAAGTCGCAAGGACACTCTTAGCGCCAGATACCACCGAGGCCACTGGACCTAATGGAATACCATCTCGACTTCTACAACAAACAGCGTGGCAGATTACACCTTCGCTCGCCCAAATTTTCAACAAGTCGTTAAACTGTGGCTAAATACCTGCTGAATGGAAATTAGCAAACCTTGTACTGGTACACAAGAAAGGATAAAAGAGCCAAGTACAGACCTATTTCCTTTCTTTCCATAATTTCGAAAGTACTGGAACGTTGTGTCCAGAGAAATTTACGTTATCATCTGCTACAATTAATCAATGATAGACAATATGGTTTTATTCCCTGAAAGTCGTGTACAACTCAGCTATTACAGGTTCTTGACTGTATTGGTTCACTTCTGGACGGTGGCAAGCAAACTGATGTAGTCTATATGGATATTATGGATATGTTCAAGGCATTCGACAAAGTCCACCATCAATATCTGATAAGCAAATTAAGGATACTGAATGTGCTACGAGGACTTAAGAACTTGGCTCTTTTCGCGTGAGGAAAACACTTGCAGAAAGTCTAGTGCTTTCCAAAATCGATTACGCCTGCACTGTGTTTCATCCACTACCACAGTACCAGCTAAAACAGTTGCAGCGCCTGAAAAATGCTTGAGCAGGCTTCGTACTACGGAAATTCGCCAATATAGAGGATTTAGAGTGTTTAAATTGGCTTCCCATCGCGAATAGAGTAGAATTTAACTTATTGAAACTCACCCATAAGGCATTATATAATGAAACTTTTCCCGAATATTTATCTCTCTCCGTACGTATCTCTGTACGATCTTTTTGTGTTCCAGTTATTGAAATACCGAGAGAAACAAGGACCTTTAAATATTCAGCAGCCATTACATTTAATAAACTACCTGCTGATATTAGGAACATATGTGACTATAATTTATTCTGTAACGTTATTAGGGATTATATTGGAAAACAATACTTTTAATCACAGAATTTAATCCGCATTTTGTATAAATAATCGACATATATATATATATATATATATATATATATATATATATATATATATATATATATATATATATATATATATATATATATATATATATATATATATATGATTTTGTACTTTTTATACTTAATTTGTACTGTAGATATTATAGATGAACAGCCATATTTTCTATGGATATGCTGCAATAAATTCATTCTCGTTCTCATTGTCATTATCATTATTAGGAAACGTCTATTGCATTTCTGGTAAACTCCTTCGCTGTTTTGAGTCGTATCTAACAAATCGCAAGCAACATGTAACTGTGCAACGAGCTACATCCTCAGGCCTACTCTGGGGCGATAAATCGCCTTAAATCGCTGCGATATAATGCGATTTTAGGCAATTTAAGAAAAAAATAGGGACTTTCAAGCACTGCGAGTAGAGGCGATTTAAGGCGATTGAAGGCATTTAAGAAAAAATTATAAATTTTAGGGATTGCAATTTAGGTGTTTTCAAAGGAATTGAATTTTATATTTTGCTCCGGTTTCCTTCCACAAGGCAAAATTGGCAGGATGAGTTAGGATATAAAGACAGTTAGTTATTAGGAAAGTAATATCATATTTTCATTGTTATCAAGATAAATAGTGTAGGCTAGCATAAGTAATCATAGTACTTGACGTAATCGGTTACTGAAAAGCCCCAATGTGGGGAGTGAGCTAAATAATAATGTAATGTTTCCACACACATATGCATTGTATGAAGCAAAATTATTAGAACATGTATGTACATTTTATGTAAAGTTAGGTTAACTAATTGTTGTATTTAACCTGATTCACATATAAAGCTCAATATTCATGAACTTTTCATCCATTCTCTATTTAAAAGCCATCGGGGTCATCTTGTGGGGTATGTGGTCATTCATGACTACATTATATACCACAAATACTGTAAACAGTTACTATGCTCTACTTAACGGGCATGCACTACACATGTCTTAAACTTTAATATCATTAATTTATGTCGAGTTAAAATTGCAAAATATAAAATCTTGTAATATTTTTCTTTCCAAAAAACCCACAAGAGAAACACACAATGTATTTATACAGTATAACTGAATAATCTATAATCTTATAAATTACCTTGTCAACCTTGTAGATGAAATTGTCTTGTTTTGTATCATGTCAAAACTTCTCTATTTAGCTTGCATTTTATATAAACTGTTTCAATCTTGTGCTTTCTTCATGCTACAAACATGTTTTATATATTTTTTTATATCTGTATCATATCCGAGTATCCAGAAACAGTATCGTCACGCATTCGGAAACTGTCGGCGTAATGCCGTAATATGTTTGTGATGTTACTCTGAGTGCATATCCACACCGGGCGAGCTTGAAAAATATGCCCGGCCACGGCGGGATTCGAATCTACGACCTTTGGAATGCTAGCCCAATGCTCTTCCAACTGAGCTACGCGGTCAGGACGGTTCGAGTAAGTGATATTTCGGAACACTATCTAGTTCCTTCAATACCAATGTGTTCTTGTAACATGAATTTTTTTCTGAGCTGGTGTTGTGTATTCAGGTGAATAATATGTTTGTGATGTTACTCTGAGTGCATATCCACACCGGGCGAGCTTGAAAAATATGCCCGGCCACGGTGGGATTCGAACCTACGACCTTTGGAATACTAGCCCAATGCTCTTCCAACG